TGCCTGAAGCCATGTGCCCATGAAGCCAAGGGCCTGGGAGGAGGCTGGCACATGAGTCAATGAAGGGGAAGATAAGAAGAGTGTGGTATGGTTACATGCTAGGACCCTCAAAAGCATGGGCTTAGAACTTGAGAACAAGGCATAAAAAACAATGGATGGGAAACAGTAAGAAAGATATGAGAGAGTAGCAACCAAGGCTTCAAACAGGTTCATTCTGGTTTGACCTTCTGCTAAGATTTTGCATTTCCACTCCAGGTATACTGAATCATAATCTACATTTTAATGGAGATCTGTAACAATCACCAGGAGATCCTGTTAAAATGCAGATTGGGAGTCAGTATTTCTGGGATGAAAAGGCAAATTCTCAGCAGGGGGTTGAACCGGAATGAACAGGTTTGAAGCGGTGGTAGCAACCTCAACTCCTGGAAGCATGTGGAGAAAAAACATGCAGCTGTTACTGACAGACAGAGTACAATGCAAAGGAAAGCAAGTTGAGTTAAGAGAGGTGGGGCTAGGGATGGTGAAAAGGGTAAGAATGCAGAGAAATTTCTCTGCAGATCAGGGAGTTTCCAAGTCCTATTAATCACACCTCAGCACTGTCTCAAATCCTTCCCTTCCTTTTCATTTCTCCCACCCTCGATATCTTTTACTTGGGCTCCTAAGAGAGCCTCCTAACTTGTCTCCACGCTGCCAATCTCTCACCTTTGCAATGTTGCTAAGCATCTTGCCAAAATACAAGTCTGATCATGTCATCCTTCCTACATGAAAACTTTCAATTCCTTCCACTGCTGATGTAACTACTAAATCCTAAACTTAGCATGGCATGAGGCCTTCCCCCATGTGGCTCCAAGTGAACTGTACCAGTTCTTTCTCCCTCCTGTATCTCTCATGCCAGACTGCTTGCTTTCCCATACCTCTATTCATGTTTGTTGTTGTTGTTATTTGCCATCGAGTCGCCTCCGACTCATAGCGACCCCTCCTTGGGTTTCCGAGGCAGTATCACTACGGAAGTAGGATTGCCCAACCTTCCTTCCGAGGAGTGGCTGGTGGGTTTGAACCACCAGCCTTCTGGTTAGCAGTCAAGTGCCTTAGGCACTATGCTACCAGAGCTCCTCTATTCATGTTTAGCTTCCACAATTCTCTGCTTGAAACTCCTGTCATAAACCTTATTGACTCTGCTTTATGTTCAAGTTCACAAGCCCATCTCTTCCACTACTGGTGATTCCTAAACTTCCCTGATGCTAACCTTCGACACTTATTAAAAACACAAATTTCTGCACCCCATCCCAGACACTTGGAATCTTTAGGGCAGGGGTCTGGAAAGCTGTATATGGTGGTTCTAAAACACGTTCACAAAATCTCTGACAAATTCCCCTCTGCCTGAATATGAAGCAGCCTTACTTAGTGACTCACTTTGAACGAAGAGAATGTAATGAAGTGATATTGTGTAAGTCCTGGGTCATAAAAGGTAATACAACTTCTGATTCCTTCCCTCCTTTTCCCTTTCCTCCCCTCCCTCTCTCTTCCTCAGGATGCTTGCCCTTGGAACACAGCCACCATATCATGTGGAAGCCAAGTAATTGCATGGAAAGGCCTGTGTAGGTGTTCCAGCCCCCGCTGAGATCCCAGATGACAGCCTGCCTTGCAAGTGAGTGAGTCTTTAGAAGACTACAGCCTCTTGTTTGTTTATTGTGGTAAGATACATATAATAAAAATTTGCCTTTTTTTTTTTTTTTTTACCATTTTTAAGTATACAATTCAGTGAGATTAATTACACTCACCATATTACACAACCATTACCAATAGCCCTTAGTTTTTGAACTTCATAAGCTAGATTGTCCCCATCAAGTCTTAAACAAATTGGAGATTCACAAGCAAAATAAATATTATCATTATTTTAAGCCACCAAATTCTGGAGATGTTTAAAATATAGCAATAGCTAACTAAGTATCATATTATGAAAAGTACCCCAGGTAAGTTTGGGGACCTAACATACACCATTCAATCCCTTGCGGTCCAGGACTAAGTCTTAATTACTTTCCAGTTCTCCACTCCTTTCCTTTGAAATATCTTTATTGGTTCTTCCTATTTTTAAAAAATAAGAATAATATATATTTGCCATAAAATAAAGCAATACCAAGTGCATAATGTAGAATGTAAAACAGGTATGTAGTTTCACCCTTATCTCCACCCTATCTCAAGCAATAACCAAGGTTAACAGTTTGGAAGTACAGTGTTTTCCACATAGGCAGTGCTCAGTGGATTTGTTATTGAAGAAAAGGTTATAGAAACCTTCTATGGTACCTGTCAGACTCTGCCCCACTAATCTATCCTAGATATAGCTACCAGAATCTCTTTCTTCAACTCTCAACCATCTTTTTTTCTAACAAATGTGCAGTAGATTCCTATTAACTAACAAACTCTACTAATGAGGCAAACTTACCAACTGCCCTAAGCCCTTCTCCCAATATTCCCCATTATTGCATCTCTATTTGAACGAAGTCAATGTGTTTGCCATCTCTGGTACATTATTTACAAATGCCATTCCTTCAATATTAGTTGAATGCCTACCATGTTTCAGTCACTGTGCTATATACTATCAGTATAAAACAAATAGGAGAAAGGGCCTTTATGTCAAAGAGCTCATGGTCTAGAGCAAAGGTCAGCAAGCTTTTTCTTTAAGGGCCAGCTAGTAGATACTTTAGGCTTTGTGGGCCATATAGTCTTCATCACAACTATTCAACTCTGCCTTTGTAGCACAAAAGCAGCTACAGACAATATACAAGTGGGTCTGGCTGTGTTCCAATAAGCCTTTATTTACTAAAGCAGGTGGCCAGTGGGCCAAAATGTGCCTACATAGTTTGCACTGTCCAACGGAACTTTGTGCAATAATGAAATGTTTCTGTGCTTTCTAGTATGGCAGCCACTCACTGCACGCAGCTTCTAGCAGCTGGAATATAGCCAATGCAGCTGAAGAACTGAATTTGTAATGGTATTTAATTTTAATTAATTTAAATTTAAATAGTCACATACATATATATATTAAAAAAAAAACAAAACTTCACTGCTGTTGAGTCGATTCGACTCATGGCGATCCCCCCTTGGGCTTCCAAGGCGGTATCTCTACGGAAGTAGATTGCTCAATCTTCCTTCCAAGAGTGGCTGGTGGATCTGATCTGCAACCTATACAACTATGAGACCAGAAGAACTAGATGGTGCCCAGCTACCACTGTCATCCACTTGGAAGGGATGTACGAGA